TCACCTATGTGCACGCTAGATAGAAACTGGAACTAAGTACATTTGCAACCTTTCAGAATAACTGGGTCCAGTTGATTAGTTGTAGGGCATGAAATGCAATAAAGTGCTGAGTAACTCGGAGCGAGGCGATCTGCGAGCTACTTTGTCTTTTGTATGTGGTTTCGAGCTCGAATCATCAACATTTTCCTCGCTGTTTCCTGCTACGAGTGGATTAACTCTCTGATGTCTCGAACACGTTCTTCGTTTCTTTCGTTTCCTGTAATGTAACACAACTGTAGGATCTGTCCAATAGGCAAGGCTCAGTTCGGCGGTGGTGCAGTTCTCTTTTAGCATTCGTGCTACCTTAAAACCCAATACCAGTGCAGTCGTTTTGAGCTCGTTTAGGGATACTGACTTCAGCTCAGCAATTTTTGTTTTGGCAAAGGGTACTTTGTTTCGCCGCCGGCCATGAAGTTCCACCCAGGTACCGTACACTGTCACTGGGTCGGTAAATTTCAAGCTGCTTTGGGTGACCTGCTGGTGTCCTTTTTTGAGGTATTTCAAAAGCCTCCGGGCAACTTCTCCTTTTCTCAATAAGTGACTTGACGGTGGTCTCTCGGGTATAGCATCTTCATGTTGCCCACTGTGAAGTCCCGTCTTTGAATTCGCCACCGAAAGCGCCGACTGATCCTTCGAGTGAACTTCGCTTTCCTGAGATGGACCGTTGGATTCAATATCGAAAGGCTGATCGTGTTCTACAGAGGCACTTCTCTCAGCAACATTTGAGCAATTTATTGATGCCGATTGTTGAAGTTCGCTCGTCAGGGGTCCGAGAAGTGTCCAGCCTAGTATCGTTCGCGTAGCGAATGGTTCTTTTCGATTGCTTATGCTCTGTTCAAGCACCCAGTGAGCCTCTGGTACATTGCATCCAATTAGTATGTCGACGTGGGGGCTAGAAACTTCTTCGAACTCTATGTCACTGAGATGAGACCATCTCTTGGCGATCGATCTAACAGAGTCGACTGGTCTCGTTGGCAAGCTGTCTATTGCAAAAGCTTCCGGAATTTCTACGGTCCCCTCATCAGATAAAGACGTTAACTGCAGGGTCAGCCTCTTAGAATTGCTAACATGACCCCTGCAATCGTGCTGATAGTGAGCGAGGTAGGCTCGCCTACTAGTTCACAGCTTTCTACAAGCTCGCGAGTAATCAGCGAGGTATCCGACCCCGTGTCCAAAAATGCATTGACCCTCCTCAGTCCTTTAGGTGTCACGATACCGACAGGTACGATGCCTAATCTTGCCGGTTTGAAATCATCATGTCCCGTTGAACAGACAATTTTGGGTTCATCTGGCTGAATAGGTCTATTGTTGAGAAGGCCATGCAATAACGAGTGATGATTACCCAAGCATCCGTCTTGGTTGCATTTCACTCTTAAGCTGCATTCAGAGGCTCGATGAGAGTTGTTCAAACACATAAAGCATGAGCCAATCCTTTTTACCGCGCACCACCGATCGGGTACACTCATCCCATGAAAGGTCGGACAATCTGGTAACCGATGCAGGGAGTTGCATAGCTTGCATTCAGCTGACCTCTCGGGTTCTTGACTTATCATGTGCATGTTAGCCAAAGACTGGGTTTGGTTACAGTCCTTCTCCACAATTCGAGATGTTGGTTCCCTTCGCGCCAGTCTGCAACTTTCGCGTACGATTTGTCCAAATCGGCTGTTGGCGATACGGGATTGACGACCTATGAACTCCGTCAAATCGTTGAACGTAGATTCCCGCTCAAGCATATTTATTTTTTCAGCTTCCTCTGCCCATCGGCTCTGTAAATCAATAAATAGACATCGAACAATGCATTCCTGTGTGTGCAATGCATTCAGATCAGACTGGTATCCTAAGTGCTCCAGTGCTGTACTGCAATTCTGCATTTTTATCACCAAACTCGACAGTGATTCAGCCTTGCCCTCAGTCCTTTTCGCCTCCAATAAAACACTATCAATTAGGCTTCTAGCCACCTTGAATGGTTGTCCAAACAAATCTTTCAGGATTCTGCGCGCCCTGATGTACCCCATCGGTGGATCAAGCATCGCGCAGCCTTCGATAGCACTTTTGGCTCTCCCACGACAGTAATGTAATAAATACAAAAACCTTTGACCAGGATCTGCAACTTTGCACTCAACAAAATTTTCGAACTGTTTCATGAATATACAGTATTGCTCGGGGTGCCCGTCGAAGTGGGACAGCTCCACTCTCGGCAGGTCAAGAGCCAAAACCTCGGTAGTTTCAGGCTGTCTCAAGGGTTTATATTCGTCGATCACAGTGCCTTTTCGATGTTGACATTGTGAACTACGTGGACTCCTTGCTGGCTCTCTGAGACCAGTTCCTTGTGTAAGGGGCTCTGCTTCCTTTCTGGCTAACCGCAGCTCGTTTTCTAATTCTATTACTCTCATTCTATAAGTACTAATATCGTCAAACGCATCGCGGTTAGAAATATATGACCTGGCACTGACAGAGCTAGTAAACTTAGTATTATCTAGAGAATCAATAACACCCGAACCATCCCCAGAGACTTGCCGAACTATTTCCTGTTGTCTCAAAATGTCCTTGCTTCCTCGTCTGGGCATTTCCAATGAGTTTTCTTGTCCAGGTTCCACTTGAGTACTGTAAGTCAAATCTCGCAAATCGAGCAACGCGTAGCCAATTCAAACGAATCCCAAAACCAGAACAAGATTGATTCGTAGCTTCTACGGTACTAAATTGAAATGCACAAAGGATACAAATATATACGAACCTCAAGTATGCGGCCAAATAGACTTCACAGTAAAACCCAAAGGTCCAAAGCCCCGTGGCTCAAGCACGACAGTCAGAAACGGTTCAAGGCCAAATTCAAATGTCTCACATGCATAAACAAACGTGAAAGTATGTGGGGTATGAGCGAGCTTTCCAAGATAATGTTAAATATAGTCAAATTCACAAAGCACGTTGAACATTTAGAAGGATTTTCAGTATTCGTTCGTTACACACGCCATGGAGGGACATGCCGGGGAAAGTCACGTGACGAGCGTCATCCGAAAGCGTCTTTGGTTGTTGAGAGGACGAGAGACTGTAAAACGCGTAATCCGACGGTGTGTGCAATGCAGGAGACGCAATGCCACAGCAGGCAAACAACTCATGGCCCCACTACCAGAATGCAGGGTTACTACGGGCTGGTGGCCGTTCAGTGACACCGGGTTGGACTATTTCGGGCCCTTGTGGATCAAGTGCGGGAAAAGATTAGAAAAGCGATACGGATGTATCATGACGTGCATGGAATCATGTGCGGTACACCTAGAAGTCGCACATTCGATGACGACCGATTCGTTTCTACGGGCCTTGCAAAGATTTATCAACCGAAGAGGCGTACCGGCCGACATATACTCAGATAATGGATCGAACTTTGTGGGCGCTCAACGGGAATTGCAGCGTTGGCACAAGAACATAAACGGGGACGAACTGCAGAATCGAACCGTTGCCTACGGCATACGATGGCATTTCAACCCCCACAGGCCAGTCACCGAGGCGGCATATGGGAACGCATGATCCGGTCCGCCAGACGGATATTGCTGTCAATCATGGAGCAGCAGCCGCCCGACGACGAGACGCTGAACACCGTCATGACTGAGGTGGAGCGAATCCTGAACAACCGCCCCCTGGTTCCAGTATTGAACGGCGACCCCACCCACCTGGCGCTCACCCCAAACGACTTATTGACGCTAAGGTCGAACGAGGGTTTCCAAGGGCCGGCAAACCTTCGTGGGACCTACCTCCACGGGTGGAAGCAAGCGAACTATCTGGCCAAGGTCTTCTGGAGGCGATGGCTACGGGAGTACCTACCGGCTTTGCAGACTCGACAGAAGTGGCTGGCCAAAACAAGACCATTCAAAGTTGGGGACGTGGTTATGATCGCCGACGAACGCGCACATTTCAGCGCTTGGTCTTTGGGAGTAGTTACGGAAACCATCAAAAGCACTGACGAAATGATAAGAACGGTGAAGGTGAAGACAGCTAACGGAGTGCTCATTCGTGACATACGCAGTATTAACCTACTCGAGAGCGAAGACGGAGGAGCTGATAACCCTGAGGCCTAGTAAACCTTTTTCACACCAGTAATCGAGGTGGATAAAGAAACACCATATATGCCACACAATCTCCGTCAAACACGTTAAGGTGCTCGCGGTCCTTTCGTTGACATTACAGAAGGTTCTTTCCGATATGTGGTGATGAATGCGATCCCATTGTACATCCCGATACATACACGCAGGCACGACGCACTCTACATCCCGTAAACCCATCATACATGTGACAGTGTTCTTTGTTTGCCTTTTGTTGACGCTACCGAATGCCCCTTGCATATGTGGAAGTAGCGGAGCTCAGGTCACACATACATGCTACATTTACTCGTTTTCTTGCCACCCGGTCTTTGGTTGACATTGCAGAAAGTCCTCCTTTGATGTGTAGTCATAACTGTGATTTCATTGTTACCCCGGCACACACACACGCACACACACACAGACACTCAAGCACGTACTTCCAGGACCGGACGGCCCCTTACGAGGACAACGTCTATGTGACCATTCACGCCCGCCATCGGTCATTTGGTCTTGTGGAAGATGTAGACTAGCCTCACGTCTATGTATCCAATGGATTAGGTGCGACCAGTAGTAGAACGTCGACGACGAGCATTAGACGCGCGCACTGACAGCAGGGCCTAGGCAGGCAGGAAGAATCAGTACCTTTATACCGAACCTTTGACTTTGCTAAGGATCCAGGAGGATTTTGGTGGGCGGTGTAACAGCCGGTCGTGGAAAATCCCCCTTTTTTCCATCGCGATTCAGTGTTTATCCCAACATCACTCATTTCCATACACTATTGACTTGTCTTTACGAACTGGTTGTTTTTCTGGACCAATTGTTGTTTGTTCGCGCCCGGAGCCCTCCTTGTTCAGGACCTGCGTGACGCACGTGCTGTCTGCTCACACGCTGCTATTCGGTTTCTCGTTGTTGAGTCTTTGTGATCGTCTTATTGAGGTTTGTATATTGTTTATGTCATTGTTTATTTTAATAATCTAGTATCGTAGAATATCGCGGATAATCGTCTTTTGATTTCGGGATCCGTTGCGAAATTTGGCTATGCATTGCTCAAACGTTCGTAGCACGTGCTGTCTGCTCACACGCTGCTATTCGGTTTCTCGTTGTTGAGTCCTTGTGATCGTATTATTGAGGTTTGTATATCTTTTATGTCATTGTTTATCTTAATAATCTAGTATCGTAGGATATCGCGGATAATCGTCTTTTGATTTCGGGATCCGTTGCGAATTTGGCTACGCATCGCTCGAACGTTCGTAACAATCTGTTCGACGAATGGTTGTCAGACTGGACTGATCAAAAAATACTGGCTCTTTAGCCCTCACTTTTCGATCACTAGAAAGGCGGACTACAGTGAGTTTGCGCCAAACGTTTTGCTTCTTTTTAATTTATAATGTGTATGCCCTTTCGTCCTTTCATCTCAGCACGCTTCTCCACCTATCTTAGTTTGCTGGTGTCGTGTTAGACAGTGTTGGCATAAACTTAGCGTGCCAGATAGACGACTGGTTCACTTCCTATATGAACCATCAGGCTCTAAAGCTAACCAGCCTAGATCAGTCAATTGCGTGTCTTCAACGATTCAGGGCTGGGGAATATTCTGAGAAGTGTGTGTGGTGCGGATTTCGCGGATGCTCAGTTGTTGGACAAAGGCCTCCCTGTGAAAGGCCGTTCTTGAGTTGGAGTCGGGCACTAGGTTTGTTCACAGTCATCTTGTGGTTCATCTATCTCTCAGGGCCCGTGTATTACCTCTTCGCTTCAAACCTGTTCACGACACCGGCGGACAGTAAACCTCTGTCGATGAAGCGATATGCGGCAGAACTTTAGAGCTTAATAATGACAAACGAAGGAGAGAAACGTGAATTTGCATGATACGGAAAACTATGAAGAGAAGTACAAAAAGATGAAAGAAATAAACGAAAGCTACTAATAATGATGTTGCGAACCGGTAAAGAGATATGGTGAAAAGGACAACCAGATCTAGAAAGGAAAAGTAAGGCGAAAATTTGTGAAAGGTAGAACGAAGGAATCCAGTAAATGAGACGGAAGAAAAAAAGGATAATAAGAACAAGACCCCAAGCCGCATGGGCAGACAACGAAGCTAATGGAGGAAATGAAGAATAATCAACCACATTTCTCGTAAGCCGGTCGGATGAAACTAATGAATAAACTCCGAGTCACCCGACTTGGGGATCCTGACTCCCTAGCATTCTTCGACGAGCACCTATTCCCACGCAACATGCGGCGTCCTAACATGCCATTGGATCCAAACTTGATGACACAAGGCTGGTCGTGCAGAAAAGAACAAGCTGAGTCACACGGTTCGGGCGAGGTCCTCCATCATTTACCCCTTTGAATGGAGCCACAGGTGGATTGTGTGCAAGGGGTTTTTGAGTTGCTTGCGTGGAATGAAAAGCACCCTGGGAAACTGTAAGGAGAGCGCATTTGACAGCACACCATTCAGCACATTTTCGAAGCACTTGATTATATCCGCATTTTGACGACCATAACGCAGTTTGATTTGACCTCGCGTAACGGTCAGATTGGAGGCCGCCATCTAGTTGTTCGTTCAATGTAAGTGTTGGTGCCGTTGATACACTTACTGGGCCTCGGCTCATGAAGTTTTTCCCTTTTGTGCTTTTGCAGATCACACGTGCTACCCTCGTCAGAAGAGCATTGCCCCTGCCTGTTACATTTTTGGCACCCATGGCGGGACCGCATTGAGGGGAGTAGGAGGCCTTGCAGATAGGCCTGATATGGGCCGAGGAGATAATTGTGAAGTGATCTGAGTTGTAGATTTGGTGTGGCCCAGGAGAGGTCTTGTGGTATGGCCTACCCAAGGTGTGCTTCCCGGAGAGTTAATGCTCCTGTAGTGTGTTGGAGTACGGAACACTGGAGGCAGTGTTCTTTTGTGAAGGGAGCAGTGTAACGGCCAGATAGGAGGCCGCCATCTAGTTGTTCGTTTAATGTAAGTGTTGGTGCCGTTGATACACTTACTGGGCCTCGGCTCATGAAGTTTTTCTCTTTTGTGCTTTTGCAGATCACACGTGCTACCCTCGTCGGAAGAGCATTGCCCCTGCCTGTTACAATCGAGCTCTGCTCATGGTTGCTGCCTTTTGTTGAGTGTTTCGGAACTTCGAACCTTGTTTGGAAGTCGTTTTGGCCACATTATTAGGGTTTGTGAGTTCTTACGTTTATACTCTGCTAACCGAATGCTGTAGAATATTCGTATCTACCTTGTCCTGCTTTGGGGCCCGTTCATTTGGTTACGCGTTCCCAGGCAGCACAAAGAGGTACTCAATTTCTTTCCTCCCAAATGACTTTGAATTCACCTCTGGGGTTTGTGAAATGCTGCCGTCGTACCGTGATAGAAAAATCAGCTAAACACGGAGTAGTGATTTGCACTACTCTGTTCACGCGTTCAGCACCAGAAAATCGAGGAATGTGCCAAGGAGAGAAGCACAACTTACGGAATCTGGGCAGGAAGCAATTTGGTGAGTCTCTGGATCGGTTCGAGTGGTTTTAATTTTCTGGGTATGGTTAGGCCTGTTAGTCCCGTCAGTCCCATCTCATGCTCCTCAGATAATTTATAGTACGAAGAGACTGGTACGCGTAGACTTCGAATATTTGAACTAGAGAATGAGTTGAAGTTAGCTACTGAGCAGATGATGTGGTTAACACCAATCCCAGTAACCTTCTCGGGGGGAGAACATTCGGTGGAGTCGAAACAACCAAGGAATAGTTCACGAAGTAGAATTCCAAGAGTCAGTTTAGTAACCACTCGGGAAAGTCATCAATCGTAGATCATCCGGGACCATAATAGAATGAGATCGTCTCGAAGTCTCGTAGCAATTCGCGGGTACGGGGCTTGAGCCGAAATATTCCCGGATCTTGTATTTACGTTGTTTTCGTTGGGACATAGAACTGAAAGGAATTTGGCGACATGGGATGGCAAACAAGCGCAAGAACAACAAGCCATTAATCAGACAAAAGGAAAAGACGAAAATACGCATTTGATCACGATTGATTTATCAGCGTCATCTAACTGTGTTTTATCGACTTGCACGCTCATTGCCCGGCCTTTAAAAACCGCTCTGCAAAGAAACATCAATACACTTTCAGTCCAGAGGTTTGTTTTCTTCCTCTCACTGAGTAATCAAGCGAGGACTTACCGTCATAACATTTCTGGCGACGTTAGATAATGGATATTCCAATGGAATTTATGCAGCAGCTACTCAAGTAACAACAAGAAGAGTTTGGAATTTTAATCCAACGGCATTCTGTGCTGTCAAAAGTGGATAATCCGAAAATATCAACTGTGGAAACGTTGTCCCGAAGCATGAGTGAATTTTACAATCGGATGACGATGGTATAACGTTCGACTTATGGTATCGTAGATGTTCTTTAGGTTGATGGAGCTACTCTCGACGAGGCCTTGTGCGTACGCCTTTTGCTGCGTAAACTGGGTCCAGCTGAACACGACAGATTCTGCGATTTCATCCTACTGAAACATCCAAAGAGCCTTGATTTAGCACAGACAGTAAAACACCTCACTTCCATTTTTGGTGGACGTTCCTCCTTGTTTGAGACACGTTACCAGTGTTTACAAATTTCGAAAAATGCAGTCGATGATTTTGTCTTCTATGCAGGCCGTGTTAACCGTGAATGTAAACGTTTCAAACCCCGGAGTCTCAAACGATCAGTTCAAACTCTTATTTTTGTCTGTGATCTATACGCGTCTGCTGACAGCGACATTTGCACCCGGCTTCTATCCAAGCTTGAAACAGACCCAGAAACCACATTACAACAAATCACCGAAGATTGTCAATGATGGATCTATTCGAGACTCGATACGCAGATCCAGAAACCATAGATGCAACCAATTCCTGTAATCAATGCTTAAGCTACGTCTAGAAGACCACGAGTTCCCCAACCAAACTTCCGAAACAGATCACGCACCGCATGTTTGCACTGCGGACTGTGGCATTTCGCTCGTTTTTGTGCGTACAGGTCACATGAATGTGAAATTGTGGTGGAATTGGTCATAAAGAAAGGATCACCGTGACCGCCCTAAGCCACACTAATACAGCAATGCACCAATCAGACGTCGCAGTTCTTCAAACGTCATTTTCGCCATGGATGCCCTCGATTTCCAGTTACGCTGGAAGTACATTTCTATTTGCACTAATAACCTACCATGAAATTGCAAATGGGCACAGCATCTGATGTGCCTATCATTTCTGAAGCCACGTGGAATTTATTAGACAGACCAGTTTATCAGCAAACTACCCATATTGCTCGCGCAGCTTCAGCTGAACAACTGTCATCTGTTGGCGAGTTCCTGTGCGAATTTTCTTTTCGTGACTGTCCTTCGTGTGGCACTCCTAACATCAAAGCTCAATCACTTGAACCTCTTTGGTATCGATTGGATAGACGGATTAAATTTGTGGCAATTTCCGTTTAATTAAATTCATGATTCTTCTGACTCTATGCCTTTCACAGTCAAACCATGTGAGCGATGTTGTATGTGTCCTCTGAAGACTTGTTTATCGAAATTTCACGTTTTAAAACAAACTATCCCGACGTTTTTTCCTTGGCCTTGGTTCATGCTGTAAGGCAAAAGCGGTTTCACATGTAAATCCCGGCATTTGATTTGTATTTTATCCCAAACGACCTGTACCTTACGCATCAGTGGAGCTTGTTGACCGCGAGTTGGCCCGGCTGGAACGACTGGGAGTAATTTGCCCCGTCAACTACTTATCATGGGCGGCACTTATCGTAGTAGCCAGAAAAGCAAATGGCAGTCAGGATCTGCACCGATTTTCCAACAGGACTGAATTGATGTCTTGAGACACGTCAGTACCGACTACCTGTGCCAGATGATTTGTTTGCCAATTTGAAAGGTGGTAAAATATTTCTAAAAATTGATTTTTCTGACGCCTACCTACAAGTTGAGGAAGAGGACGATTGCAAGGAGTAGCTCACTGTAAGCACTCACAAGGGTCTTTATCGCTACAATCGCTTACCTTTTGGTGTTACATGTGCCCCAGCAATTTTTCAGCAGATAATAGATACGATGTTAGCCGGCCTAGAATTCTCAGTGGCTTATATAAATGACATAATTATCGTTAGCAAAACAACGGATGAAAGTTTCATGCATTTAAATTTGATTTTGCAGAGGATTTCCGAGTACGGGTTCCGAGTCCAACCTCAGAAGTGTTCATTCGGATTATCCAATATCACTTACTTGTGGCCGATCATTGACAGTACTGGTAGAAAATCGGATCCAGTGAAGATCGCAGCGATTGACTGCATGCCCGCTCCAATCAATAAAGAAGCACTGCAGTCCTTCTTCGGGCTTGTTAATTACTATCACAATTTTGTACCATAGATGTATCAGCTAAGAGCTCCCATGAACCAACTGCTGACAAAAAACACTGAATGACACTGGTCATCGGCATGTCAAAACGCATTTTTCGCCATCAAGCGAGTTCTCACGTCCGACTTGCTCCTCACTCACTGTGACCCCAAGTGACCCATGATTGTAGCCGCTGATACTTCCGAGTACGGAATGGGAGCGGTTTTACTGCACGAATTTCCCAGTGGCAGTCGTAAGGCCGTATACCTTGTCTTTAGATCACTCACAGCAGCAAAAAAGAATTGCCAAATTGAAAAAGAAGGACTCGCTAATTTTTGCACTTAAAAAGTTTCATAAGATGCTACATGGCAGAAAATTTACCCTGCCCACTGATCAAAAACCATTATTATCCATCTTTGGCACGAAGACAGGGGTACCAGTGCCGACTGCAAATCGTTTGCAGCGTTGGGCCACAATACTGTTAATCTATGACTTTGAGTTGCGCTTCATAAAAACAACAAGTTTTGGGCACGCCGATGCCCTCTCCAGACTGGTAGCTGATCTTGGCAGTCGTCGCCCTGATAAGGATAGTGTAATTGCATCGATCGCCGTTGATTCCGATGTTCATTATGTTTCCAAAGATTCGCTGCGTGGTCTACCAGTCATCGCTGAAATGATCCGGCGCAGAACAGCGAGGGGCAAACTATTGCAGAAGGGGTTTACCCCGTAACCTTCCCAACAGCTCACCAAGAGTTCTTCAAAAGGTTAGCCTTATCTATTGAACAAGGATGTCTCATGCTCGGTGAGTGAGTCTTTGCGCCCCAGACATTGCAGTCAACGGTGTTAAAACAATTCCACCATGGTCACCCTGGTATTAGTCGCATGCATATTGGCCCTTCAAGGATTAACAAATTGAACGCGAGGTGAAAGCTTGTCACAACTGTTCAGTGGCAGCTAACCTGCCACCTAAGAGTGAACGCCAAGCATGGCAACCCCAGCAGCCCCTTGGTCCCGCATCTACATTGATTTCGCTGGGCCCATTGACGGTATGTATTACCTAATAACTGTCGATGCACACTCGAAATGGCCCGAAGTTATTTCTATGCGTGTCACAACCACAAACAGGAGTAGAATATTTGCTCGGTTCTTTGTGCTGGAAGTTCTCGTCTCGGGGAATGGCCCACAATTTACAACTACATAGTTCGCAGTGATTTGCGTTTTGAAGGGCATTCGCTACGTTCGCTCCCCAGTGTACCATCCACAATCGAATGGCCAAGTAGAACGGTTTGTTGACACGCGCGAGGAGGGCAAACTACATCAGTCAATTGATGCTTTCCTCCTGACATACCGCTCAACTCCGAACCCAGCTACCACAAAGCAGAAGTCTCCAGCTGACCTATTTCTAGGCCGACGGAGGAGACTGCCCCTAGATGCCATGATCCCGGTCGCTCGAGATACTAACGAATCGCAGATCTATACACCCATTAATGTCAGAGCATTCAAGACGAGATCAAATTTATGTGCGAAATTTTCGGAACGGTTTAAAGAACTGGATTCCCGGACAGATTGCGAGACGAGAACAGTCACGTATAAGGTTAGGGTGGGCGGTTTCATCTGGACCAGACATGTTAACCATCTCAGACCTCGAAAGATGCTGTACAACTCCGTGGAACATCCCTCCGACTTCACACCTATGGATGTATTGATCGGTCATCGAAATGTCAAGACAAGCCCTGAAAAAGTCATCACTCCCATGGAGGCACCTAAACAGTTAGACCGAAGATACTCAAAACGTACTCGGGCTCCAATACGCCGGTTGAATATCAACCCCAGGAATTGAACTTATGAAACTACCGTAGCTTAGGTTACCGAACATCCTCAAAGGAGGGAGGTGTAGTGAGACCGCAAACCAGTCCGATTCACGCCGCAGCTGATATCGGTCCACGCTTATTAGGTCGAACGTGACTGGCATGCCTTTGTGTCGCTTTCGCATGCGTCATCCAATTATGATTTTTATCGATTTGTACGCCCACTGGCTGACCTTTGAAAAACCGCTCTGCAAAGAAACACCATTACACTGTTCCAGTCCAAAGGTTTGTTTTCTTCCTCTCACTGGGTAATCAAGCGAGGACTTACCGTTATAACACAGATACTGTGTATTATTGGAATAGTGGTTCGCGCAATATCGATTATTCGCTGGCGGTAATCACACCCGACTGTCCGGACCGCGATAGCTCAGCTGATAGAGCATCTGTCCGGTATGCGGAGGGTGGCCGGTTCAATTCCGGCTCGCGGCGTCCGACTTCTCGATGTGAAAAATGCAATTGAATTTTCCATTACATACACTTCAGGCTCCTCGTGCCAACACTACATTCTATGAGTATGCATATGATTTCGTTTTTTTCTTTCAGTTACCGGTAAGGAGAAATAGAAATAGATAGAATGAAACTCGCAAAATAGATGGGGACACGACGGTCCAAAAAAAAACGGAGTGTAATGTGGTCTCTATTTATTATTTTTCATTTATTACTGATTTATTTCATTGTCTTTTTTAACAATGTCTTTTTTTCTAGGATTTATTTGTTCCTCTTTGTTGACAAACGCCCCGGTTTTTTATTGAAAATGGGACAAGTTCAAAAAGGGTGGTGTGAATCGGTGATCGCACCGTCTTATACGGAACGCGACAGGTCCTCCTGTGAAGACCTCAAGGGAATGGGTCTGGTTAGCAGCGCATCCAGACTGCTCACTAGTGTTATTCTCCAGCGCTTATCTGACGCTCGCGAACAGTGCTCGCGCGAATTGCCGGTGGTGCTCGAGTGGCTCAGAGCATTTGCTTACCATCTCGGAGGTCCGAGGTTCGAATCCCCACCACCACCGGTTTCTTCAGTGGTAGACAGCATTTCTTTGTCGTCCGGATCGTTACCACACCTAACCTATTGAGTCCTTATGTGGTTCTCTTCCCCAAGTCTCAGGGTCTGGTTGCCGGTTATACCTGATAGTGCAGTGGGCCTTCGTGGCTCTGGAGTATATACCCCTTTCACTGCACTCATGCACAAGCATGTAATACAATAAAGATTAGACCTGGTCGAGGTTGTATTTATCGTATACTCACTGTTCGACATGCTTTGGGACATAGGCATGCATGCATGCTCACGGTCTCTGTTTTTCTTGATCTTAATGCGGCCTTTGACTCGGTGGACCGCATAGTTCTCCGGCGCTGCTCGTTGAGGGGCGTACCAGAGAAATCCATTTCCATCGGAAAGTCTCTCAAAATGAGTAGCCGAAGCCGAGTTCGGGCTTACGGTGATTTTTCACCCGACTTCACCACGAGAAGTGGTGTACGTCAGGGTTGTCTTCCGTCTACTTTCCTCTTTACTTTTGCGGTTGATATGGTCCTGGGGACCGCGCTTTTGTCAGATGACGATGGTGGCAATGAACTTTTCCCAGGTGAAAAGGTGTTAGCTCTTGGATGTGCAGACGACAATTCCTCCAGATAAAGATCCAAATAAGTTGCAAGTTTTGTAGACAGCTTGATAGACTGCGTAGCAATGTTCGGTATGGGTTTTGCCCCTTCAAAGGGCAAGATGCTGCTGCAGGACTGGGTTGGTCCAACGACTAACATGTAACACTGTTATTCCGCTTTTCACGTTTTGCTGCCGACTACTGTTCCAGTAGTCAAACTCGAAAGCTGGAACACGTTTTCCTTGGTTAATTCTCCTGTTCTTTGGTCTGGCTGGTCGGCCATCTTGAATCTGGCCATTTTTACGCTTGGACTATCAACAGACATTGCTGATTACAACGGGTAGGCGCATAGTATGCTTATTTTTTTGTGAAGAGCTACTTGCCAGCCTGCGCGGCGTTTCCTTGGATAACCTCCAGATTTTCTGAGGATTCCTTCTCATTCAGTGCGTACTGTGTCCAAAAGAGGTCAGTTCCGAAGAGAGGTTCTTGTTCTTGGAATTTTTCAGTAATTTACAGGGATATTTTGCCGAATTAGACACTGCTGTAGTGCTACAACAACTGTTATGGTAATTAAGTAGGAAAAGTACAGCAAACCTAGGATGCGTTTATGGTTAAATGATATATATTCCGATCGAGACGGAATAGCTCGGCCAATCCATCATCAACGATGCTTCATCGTGCGACGCAATTCTCATACCAACTTACCAGTGTTCATATGCGAATTGTGCTCAAATCTCGCACCGGAGAACTCCGTCCTGATTTTAAAGAGTGCAATGAGTTCGCCAAACCCCCCAGCGATTCTCTTTAATGAGGGACAAATGCGAACTTCCCTGAAATTTTCGCAATCCACTGATGCGTGTCGTTTCTTCGGTCACGAGCTTCGACTTTCAGATGCTATAATAAACGAGAGTAAGCCGTGCCTGAGTGGGCGTAACATGCGGTTACAAATCTATCTGGGATAAGTTTGAAGGGCTAGCTCTATCTCACTAAACGAGATAGCACCATTCTATCACTCGAACAATGGTGGTCGAAAGGTTTGGGGTGTGATTTCCACGTAGTGGGTAGGGTTCAAATCTCAATACCGCCGGTTACTTTGGTGGTAAGCAGTAATCCACTGTCGTCCGACTTGCCACCAAATCTGACTCATTGGGAGCTTATGTTCTAGGTCACTCGAAGTTTCAGGGTCTTTGCCGGCTATCCCTAATTTGTCTTTGATACTATGGGATGCACCTTTTCACCGTACTAATTCGAAAGCGCGTACCACAATGGTTTACGCCCCTGACCGCATGGTGATGGACGGCTACGGTACCCAAATTCTCCGTGGAAATATCCGATAGTCACAAAAGCTTGAGATTCAAAACAACCCTCGTAGATAGATTGGTCAGCGAGTGATTCGTCATGAAGTACGAGAGGTTGACTGAGCATCGAGTATGATGGAAGCACTGTACTGTTGTTTCATGCTTAGTAATAATGATAATCTTTTCACTCCTGTATTTAGTATACGAAATCATGCAATATTTCTGGAAAAGGTTCGCAGCCAATCGGAGGCCGCCATATGGGAAAAAGGTCGGTGGTGGATGAGTGGGAGTCGAGCATCGTGCCAACGCAGCAGCAACGCCTACAAAATTCAGATCTACCGCTCAGGTTCCTCGATGATGTACTTTTGACCACAGCCGGGTAAAGTTTTCAATGGTAACCTCAAATTGAACGTCTTTGTGGTGGAGGACTTCTCCGTCGAGGCCTCTAGGTTGTAACCGACATTCGTAACTTGGCTAATTGGACAATTCGGGTGGCGTATCGTTTGGTTTGATCAGCAAGTGGTTCGTATTGAGGTAAGAAGAGTTGACCATGCACTGATGATCACGGAAACACCGTGAAATGGTTTCACCGTTGTTAGGAGCAACCGACAGTGCCCGTCTACTGAGCCGCCACTGAGACCCGAACCTGGAGTGAACAAATGCAGGCGTCAAACCTAACCAAATTGCCCGGCTGAGTCAGAATGGTTTTCCAACTTCACCGAATGATATGAAGCCGTTCTCTAACTGTCTTTTCAAGAGATATAACCAGTCGACGGCATCGTGATCAGTGTCTATGGTGTACGACTTCGTAGAAACAGTGACAAAAGAGGCTTAAGGTTGGAAACAACATTCGAAACTTGGCTGTTCCATCGACTGGAGTAGTAGGAAATTTGACTTGGTCCTCAAATGATTCGTCATGAAGTAAAAAAGGTTGACTGGACACCGAGTATCTTGAAAGCACTGTACTATTGTTTGCTCCTTGATAATAATAATAATGATGATGATAATAATAATATGCTTTCCATCGTTCAACTTTTCACACAACATTGTATAAGACTTGTGTAAGAAAGCGGCAGCCAATGAGGGCTGCCGGAAAGGGCGGTTGCAAGTACCGATACCCTGCGTCGTGGTTCAGATCCTTCGATGATGAAGTTCTGACCACGACCTGTCAGCGTTTTCCGAACACAATAGCCTCTTGGACGGATGGTGAGCGTGTTCTATTGTGGACGATTTCTCTGTAGTAAGCTCAGGTCATGCATGTTTCAGTTTCGAGATAACCTCCGTAGATAGGTTGTTTCGTCCATTTGAGCAGTAGATGTAGTTTTTGTAACGTATAAACGGTTAACAGAATGGGAGCTCAGAGGACAGCGCCCGTATGATAGGCTTTGTTCGGCGAAAAACAAGGCATACCAATCGGAACAAGAAGCGAGAAGTGTTCGATTATACAACGAAATAGGAGCGAATTATGAAGCAGAAGCACAGTAACATATATGTAACATCCACCATCACTTAGAAAACAAGGACTAGTATTTTGTGTTTCCGTGGATGAGAAATAGAAAATGGTGCCGGTTACCAGAGAGTGCGTTGTTACGCGTCACGGTTTGGAAGGTAATGAGATCTCACTTTTTGTTGTTGCAAGAGCAGGTTTTCAACGTTCGTTTCTGGTTCACCAGGATACTCTACTGGGTCAGAAACACTTGTTTGCAAATCAGACGTGAATGAGATGTCATTATCGAGGGAGAGTCAGTAAGAGTGAGACGGATGGTGCAGAAGTTGGTCGTTCTGCAGGGGCAAGATGACCAAGTGATACCATTCTCCCACGCTCATCAGAGGGACATTTGAGCGTACTCGAGGTTGCTTTCCAGCGGTTCGACTTCCGCCACTATCGTATCATACTCGGACGAACGGATGTTTTTTTTTGATATGGCACTGGCGCCCAATATTATTAACCATTGACGTGAACTGATTCCAACGAAAGATTTTTGATGATTAATATGCATTCGTTCGTGGGGAGTCGGATTTAGAGCAGTACACAGCAATGACCTGATGGCGTGCAGTGCCTCGAATAGTGCCAACTCTTTTTGACCAATGGCTAGGTTTCTCGGAGACAAAGGTACACAGATACAGTTTTGCATATTCTGCCACTCAGTCGTTCGACTTGACCGTTGCCCTGCTCGTCGTGCCGATCGTGCTTTCAGTCACTATCACGCGATTATCGTTCTTGAGCTGATCGAACTTGGCCTTGGGTTTCCAGAAATGAGAGTAGTGTGATTCGGAATCAGGGTTAGTGGTCATCTACGTGGTGGCCACAAAGACTGGAAGGGTGAGTGTGAGTAAGGAAGACGGATTGTGCGTGTGACACCTGAGGATAACTCCGTGTTGGCTGAGTGTGGAGAGCTTGTTCAACTTGAACAGCTGATGATATGTGCGCGTATTGTGACAAGGTTTAGAAGAAGGTTTTTTGTTTTTCTGAGGTTATTGGGGACGTGTTTTCTGTATAGAGTGTATAGGCCGTTGTCGTGGGTTCGTGACAGGATAGGGATTGTGCTCGGCCGAGCACAAAGAGTGAGAACTGGGAACGTTTGAACGAGATGAGGTGTGTATTGGAGGAACGCAGCGGGGTGCAGACGGTCTACACAGTTTGAGCAAGTGGCGCCACCAAATTCTATAATTGTTCAGATGAAGAGATTTGTTAGTGTTTGTAATTGTGTGTGATATTGGTAGGACTAAAGTTGAGGTGGTTTAGTTCACAGTGGTGGACTCGGATGATGATGGAGGTCTTGTGTGTGTGCGTGATGGCGAATGGAGCACGAAGGCTTTTGATGGTAAGCGACGTACATAGAGTAAGCGCTATGTGAGCTTGAGTGGTGAGTGTTTTCGTTCCGATTCATGTGATGATTGTTCATGATTTGATTGAACTTGACTGAGGATTTGGAGGCATGGGAGTGGTGTAGTTGAACTGGATGTAATTATGAATGAGGGTTAGTGGCCATCTAGGTGGGTGGCCGGAGGGAGTGCTATTGGGAGTTTAAGTGGGAATGTGAGTGTGAGATAGGATGAAGGATCGTGCGTGTGACACCTGAGGACAACTCCGTGTTGGCTGAGTGTGGAGAGCTTGTTCAACTTGAACAGTTTATGATATGTGCGCGTATTGTGACAAGGTTTAGAAGAAGGTTTTTTGTTTTTCTGAGGTAACTGGGGACGCATTTTCTGTATAGAGTGTATAGGCCGTTGTCGTGGGTTCGTGACAGGATAGGGATTGTGCTCGGCCGAGCACAAAGAGTGAGAACTGGGAACGTTTGAACGAGATGAGGTGTGTGTTGGAGGAACGCAACGGGGTGCAGACGGTCTACACAGTTTGAGCAAGTGGCGCCACCAAATTCTATAATTGTTCAGATGAAGAGATTTGTTAGTGTTTGTAATTGTGTGTGATATTGGTAGGACTGAAGTTGAGGTGGTTTAGTTCACAGTGGTGGACTCGGATGATGATGGAGGTCTTGTGTGTGTGCGTGATGGCGAATGGAGCACGAAGGCTTTTGATGGTAAGCGACGTACATAGAGTAAGCGCTATGTGAGTTTGAGTGGTGAGTGTTTTCGTTCCGATTCATGTGATGATTGTTCATGATTTGAATGAACTTGACTGAGGATTTGGAGGCATGGGAGTGGTGTAGTTGAACTGGATGTAATTAGGAATGAGGGTTAGTGGCCATCTAGGTGGGTGGCCGGAGGGAGTGCTATTGGGAGTTTAAGTGGGAATGTGAGTGTGAGATAGGATGAAGGATCGTGCGTGTGACACCTGAGGACGACTCTGTGTTGGCTGAGTGTGAAGAGTTTGTTCAACTTGAACAGTTGACTACGAGACTGCGCCTTGACGTGGTGTGGTGGCTTGCGCGCCTCTATGACCGGAAGAGCTATGTAGGATGGCTTCTTTAAACCGGAGATGCAATCATGCCTGACAGGTCAATGGGTAGAGGTCAGACAAAGTTCAGTCTCCTGGTCCTCCAGGTTGGGGGTTGATTTGAGCTGGAAACACAATCGGCAAAATCAGTGGAAGAATAATTGATCCAAGCAAATAGGCTTCCACTAAGCCATCCCGCTGCCTTGCGGATAGGTTCTTGTTAGAACTAAAGGCTTTGGATGAGGACCCTAATCGCTCTCCTGCTTTGTGGCTGGACACCCTAGCAGTGCCCGTTCAACATCTCCCATGAACTGCACGAATACAAAGAATTCCATACTGCATCGGTCGTCGCGCAGGATAATCAGGACCGCGCTGCCCATTGAATCGAGCGGGGTTGGTAGTGGTAAGTGGGCTACTGCTCAGAGTTCCCTCTCTTTTATTCAACCTTTGTCTTCTGTCCTCAACCACCTCTCTTTGCCCCATCTATCCACCCATAATGCTCCCACTGATAACACGGTCGATACCTCGCAACGATTCACTGTCAAATAGTGTCGGGAATAATCCTCTGTCTGGTAACTCACATTTCCTCAAGCCTCGTCAGCCTCTGAATCTCGGCTCCTTCAACGTGCGTACACTCATGCAGGCCGGTCAGCCGGCGTGCCTAGCCCTCATATTAGATTCTCTGAAGATTGATGTCTGCTGCTTAAGTGAAACGCGTATCCAAGATTCGAGCAGTGTAATTCAACTAACTGCTCCTGGTATCTCATCGAGGTATTTCCTGCGCACCTCAGGAGACGAAGCAGCTAGAGCTGTGGATCAACGTTGTGTATGAATTGTCTTGACTGACAAGGCTGAGGCTGCCCTTTTAGATTGGATCCCTGTTAACAGTCGTTTATGTGCTGTGAGACTCCAAGGGTCAGTTAGCGTTCGAAAGGATAGTTGCGTTAAGCGCGATTTGTTTGTGATCTCGGCGTACGCCCCAACGGACTGCAGCTCAGACGCGCAGAAAGATGATTTCTACGATGAACTCGGCACCCTCGTTTGCAGCAGTAAAGGTTCTGACATTGTAGTGCTAGCTGGTGACTTCAATGCACAAGTTGGCAAACTCAGTGCTTCAGAAGCCTGTTTAGGTGGGTGCTGTGCTTTACCCGCTGAGCGTACAGATAACGGGGATAGACTTCTCCAGTTTTGTGCAGACAATCGATTGTTCTTGTCTAGCATCAATTTCCGACACAGCTCGCGTCGCACAGCGACATGGCGCTCTAACTCTACAGGTACTTTGATTCAAATTGATCATATTGCCGTAAGCTACCGGTGGCGCAGTTCTGTTCAGAACTGTAGATCTTACTGGTCCACGTACGTAGAGTCGGACCATGCATTAGTTTTAATGCGATTATCTCTCCAGCTCCATGGTTATCGTCGCAAACCGCAAACCCGATTAGCCGTGCAACGTTTGTGTGATTCAGAAGTACGCACCCGTTATGAGCAGAAGTTAGAACATGAGCTAGGATCTACGACGAAGAGTAATGTAGATGAGCATTGGGCTCATATCAAACAGGCGATGCACGTGGCAGCAGGTTTTGCCTGTGGTCCTAGATCCGATGTCCATCAAAGACACTGGATCTCGCAAGACAGCAAAGGCTTGACCGATGGGCCGAGTACTTCAAGGAACAGTTTAGCTGGCCGCACGCTAGTGCAGTTACTCCCGTGTCAACAACTGTGACTCCTTGGGTGGTGTCACTTGAGCCCCCATCGGAAGTAGAAGTAGAGTCGAGCATTCGATTACTAAAGCGAGGGAAAGCGGCAGGTCCCGACGAACTTCCTCCAGTTCTTTTCAAACTGGGTGGTGAGGCGTTGATAAAATCACTTACTGCCTTGCTCCGTGACATTTGGAACGAGGAGCGTATTCCGTTAATATAGAGCGAGTCATTGATTGTTCCCATCTTCGAGAAGGGAATACACAATGACTGTAGTAATCATCGTGGGATTAGCTTAATTCCGATAGTCACCAAAGTATTAGCTTCGATTTTGCTGCATCGTATTACATCGGCTCGTGAGAGGAATGTCCGCGAGCAGCAGGCTGGATTCCGCCCAGGTCGAGGATGCATCGACCAGATTTTTACTCTTCGTCGACTACTTGAAACGCGTCACACACACCGTCGACCGACAATAATGCTTTTCTTAGACCTGAAAGACTCCTTCGATTCAGTTGATCGAACATCGCTTTTCAGTGTTCTTCATCGAAAAGGTATGCCCCAGAAGTTCGTGAACCTACTGAGATCATTGTATTCTCATACTTCTGGCCGCGTTAGGGTTTACGGTGAACTATCCGGTCGGTTCGAAACGACCAGTGGTGTTCGACAGGGATGTCCTTTGTCTCCATTCCTGTTCAACTTCGTCGTGGACGAAATAATGGACAATGCGCAGCAAAATCTTCAGGATGTATGCGTCGAACTAGGAAATAGTGAAAAGCTATGTGACCTGGATTACGCGGACGACGTTGTCTGCTTGTTCGAATGCACGGAACATGCTCAGCGTGCACTAGATAATCTCGCAAGAGCTGTAGTTCCATTCGGCATGCGCTTTGCACCTTCAAAGTGCAAGGTGATGTTACGAGACTGGACGTCAACAATTCCGAGCTTGATGCTCGATGGGGAGGTGTTGTCAGTTGTCGACCACTTTATCTATCCCGGTAGCTGCGTGACGACGGATGGGAGCACAGTAGTAGAGGTGAGCACGCGGATATCCAAGGCTCGAGCGGCGTACGCTGAACTGAAGCATTTTTGGCGCCGATCTGATATTTCACTGAAGTTGAAAGGT